AAGAAAAGAAACTGCATTTCATTATATTACTAACCTGTTTAGCGACGATCTAAATGGTTATACGTTTGGCGTCAAGCTGTGAGTGATTTTGATTGGACAGTCTGTCTCATGTTATCGTGCATTTGATTGGTCAGAAAGGAAGAGTTACAATAACGCTTTAGCTCTAAAGAAATTTACAGCTAATCAGTTCTGCCATAATTATTCTTAGCGATATTTTTTAGTCTTTTTATTTCTTTCCATAGAAACTGGTTCAAATTGTTTATAATTTTATTCAAATATTATGAATTGGTACTGAATTGACCTATTTCACTATGACGTCACTGCTTGTTTATGTGGGGGATAGAATCGCCAAATCCGATAGAAAATTTAACAAAATTTRCTCCTAGCGAAACAGTTTAATCTAAAATGGCYTGGTTTTCAGATATGTGATAATATGTCCTAAAACATATTCTGAGCGTTTGCTGGCTATTCTACTTCTCTTCGTGGATTGATACGGGTTTTAGAACAATTTTCGGTGAATTTGCGTTGATTTGACCCCTTCCGATGACCATGATCCTTTGCGTTTAAACAATARATTGTTTTGATGTGACGTCATAGTGAATTAGGGCAATTAGCGTGAGGTATTTGTTCTTGCGTGGCTGACTTATGTGAATCATGACACATTATGACATGTAGTGCTACACTGGAATTGTTGAAGTTCGCACAGATACCCGAGGGGGGGAAGGGGTTGTTATCGGGTATGCTCGTGGTATTTCTAAGGGGTAACTAGCAATATGACCACGCTTTAACACAAAAAMTCGTATCATCCTTAAGTGAATTCTAGTGCTTCTGTTAAAGACTTTGTACTCTGTACATGTCAAAACTAGAAGATATATATTATTATTATTAACATATTGAATCCAGATTTTTACTTTATTGTAGTTTAAAAGAATGTTAAGCATACTATGAAAATATAACAACTATTTATCTGCAATTCATGTGAACATTAAAATATATCATTGATATTGTGACTTGATCAACCTTTTTTTTTGTTTTGAAATAGCTGTAAAAATAGATTATTTTACAAGGATTTGTATTGGAAAATATGTTTCTACAGTCCACTAGGAATTAAGTCATCAAGGTCAAAAAGTCTATTTCATAGCATGGCATTAAATGAAATCACGAATGCCGTTAATTTTAATTTGATTTAGATGGATTATTCTTGGTGGTGGTGGTGGTAGTAATGAGTTTTTCTTTAAATATTTTTATCATTTTAATTATTTTTTATAAATAATCAATTGACAGCTCTGGAATCCCTCAGAGTCGTAGTATTACCTATACATTATACAGTGTAGACGACTAATAGAAAGAGAATCCCTCAGAGTCGTAGTATTACCTATACATCATACAGTGTGGACGACTAATAGAAAGAGAATCCCTCAGAGTCATGGTATTACCTATACATTATACAGTGTGGACGACTAATAGAAAGAGAATCCCTCAGAGTCGTAGTATTAC